TATAGCAGTGGGAGGTGGAAGAACACACTTGGGAACCAGAAAACATGACTTTCAACGTTATCCAATCAAGTGAGGGGAAACATTCAGCAAGGTGTTCAGGGATGCCTCCAGAAAAGCCAGCTTTTATCTGCTTTGCATATTGGAGTCATGAGACAGATTTCATTTGTAACAAGATTTGATACATTTAAGGTTTAATAATTGCTAAGGTGTAATCTAGAACAGATTGTTCCTTGGCTTCAGTCAAGCCTGCCTAGTCAAAAACAAGGAGTCCCTCTACAAAACCAGATACTAGCATAACCACTTACTGGGTGGCTGATATGTAAGAGAAGGAATATTTATAAAGCCCCAAGGTGCCCACTCTTTGTTGGGTATTTTGACAAAAATTATTTACCTCAGGTTCCAGTGGCTTGTTAGGTGAATGGTGCACTTCCCATTTTGACCAAAAAGGAAACTCACTGAGGGTTAGATAATCAGAGTGTCAAGGACAGCACTCAAAGCAGGGCTGTATGCCTCCAGAGTCTCTGCCTTTCTACATGTCACCTCAGAGGTGGAAAGGAGAGCAGGAGGAGGAAAACCCAGACAGAGGACAGAGGCAGCAGCCAGCAGCTTCTCTGACCCACCCCACCCGGTCCCCAAAGCCCGGAGTCACACAAAGGAGGCTCAGTCCAGGCAGTGCCCACAGCTCACATTCAGGCAGCCTGCCTTCCTCCCCTCTTCCTCCTGGGCCTGGTGGCAACACTAGGTTACTCAGCGCCCAGTAGGGGACAATGACTACACTGTAGGGAGTCACACATCCACCACAGCAGAGGGACAGAATAATCCACTAGGGAATCACCTCCACCCACTCTGGAACAGCCCCTTCCTCCCTCTGTCCAGCTCACTTTTATGCACTGCCCACCCCTCCCTGTGACTCAGGGCAAGGAGTCAGCTTCCCAGGGTTAGCATGTGTCCCTCATCACCAACACCCATGAACAAGCAGTTCATCACACCTGCAGTTCATCACACCTTCACAGCTCCCTTCACCTCCTCCTTCCCCAGGGAGGGGAGCCAAACTCCACCCAGCTAGATTACCAGCCCTGCAGTCAGGGAGAAAGAGAGGGTGGGCTCTGGAGCTGAAATGAAATCTAGGCTGTTGGGAAGAGGGAGGGAGCTAGAGCCTGGGCTGGGAGGAGCCCCAAAAGAAATGACAAATGAGGACCAGTCCCTCCACCAACTAGGCAGGGAGCACAGGGTATGGTAGGTAACCTGATCTCTGCCTCAAACCTAGTTTTTCCTCAGTCCCACATCCTGTCATGCTGGGCTGAGCTCTTCTAGTCCCTGCATTCCACCACCTCACATTATATAGCCTGGGTCTGCTTTTTAGGAAGCAGAATACTCCAGCCCCAGGCTGTTTCTCTTCAACAGTGGGATGCTAGGTGGCCCCTCCCTCTCCTCCACTTACACCTTCAGAAAACTGGGATGTGGGGGAAGAGGACATGAGTCACTGAGAATTTATCCGAACCACTCTCCGGATCACAAAGGGGCTCTTGCTGATACCCCAAATGACAGGGAAGATGTGCCCTGCCAGCACATCCCTTTCCAAACAGGGGTTCATTGAAGTCTACCCAGGTGACTGACACTAGGATTTCTTCCAACTCCCCCACCTACTCCCATTAGTTCAACTCATGCACCTGTGTAAATATGGGCTGGGGTAACTCCAACCCAGGCAGTTCGGATAGAGAGCAATCACTACTGATCTACCAGTCACTTAGGCAAGAGTGCGCCACTGCCGTCCCCCAGAAAGGCAACTGGCACCAGATGGTGGGATGCAGAGGCCAGAACTTCAGGACCAGGACATGAATTAAGTGACCTGGAACCCCCAGCTCAGAAGACTTTCCCTCCAGACTCTGGTTGGGCCAGAAGAGCAAGCAGCCCAGTACAAGCAAGGACACAAGGCCCAAGGCCAAGATGGCATGAACAATAGTTCCCTGTGAGAGGCAAACCCAGAGGAACTGCCCCACTGACCCTAAAAGGGGCAACCAAACCCCACGCAGAGACTGAAGTGGAGCTGGAATGGAGCCTGGAACTTCTGGTGCCTCCCCTGAGACAAGATATGTGGGATACCTAGCTCATTCTCTTGATTTTCCCGAAGATCCAGTGGGCCTCCTACCTGGCTCACTTCCCCTGAAGTTTGGGAAAAACTCACTCTTCAGTTGACACCTCTTCCTCAACTTTAAAGCCAGAATTGAGAGAACTCTTTGCCCCTGGCTCCCCAGCTGACACCCCTAAAATAAATCTTTAGCCTAGCTGGGGAGTGTGGAGGGTAGATTCCTTCACACACTCGCATGAACGAACACACAAGGGCTGGATCCTTCCCCGTCTCCCCTACCCCATGCCCCAGGCAGTTTCCAAGGACTGTCAAGGGCAGCGTCCAACCTCCGCCTAGCAGTGACAGCCCCCAAGGGTCATACCATGCCCTTATTCCCGCCATTCCACCGTCCGGGCCTGGGAGAACTCCAAGCCCATCCCCAGCACCCCAGGCCAGGTCGACGCTGGGCGGTCCAGCCTGGGGCTAGCCAGGGGATCTGGGCTGGGTTTCCTCCCGGAGGGAGATCAAGGCCGCTCCCTTGTTCAGCGGGGGAGGCTTGGAGAAACCCGGAGGGAAGGGAAAGGTAGGATTGGGAAACCAGGGTGCCCGCGTGGGCGATGGAGTGGGACGTGGTGTGTGCAGAAGACCACTCTCTGCCACTAGAATCCTTGTGGAACAAGCATAGCCTGACTTCATCCCTAGTCTGAAGGCCCTCCAGGACCTTCTGGGACCTGCAGACCCAGACCACCATTCTGCCTCCTATTCCCTTCCTTCCATTGCCTGGAATGTCCCTGAGTCCAATTCCTACCTACTTCTCCAAGGTTACTCTTGGAAGTGCTTCTGGATCCCCAACCAGGAATACAGTTCCCAGTCCTATTGTATTATTGTGCCATTAGTGACACTTAGCGCTGTCTAATGTGTTACATACCGTATTTACCTACATGTAGATCTTCCTTGTAAAAATGAGGAGGTGGACAAAGAAGGAGGAAATCTATCAACATTTTATTGACTTGCATATTCTAGGAACTACATAACTCAACCTTTTAAATACTTGTCACAATCCTTTCGGGGGAAGTATACCCATCTTCTTTTGCCTGTAAGGAAACTGAGATTTGAAGACGCAGCTTAGCAAATGTTTGAGATTTCTGATAGCAAGAATTCATACAGTCAGTCCTGTGTGGCTACAATGCTGGTGCTGTCTTCTGATGACTACCGTGCTCCTCCAGTCTTCCCCTCCCCTCATCTAGCACAGTGGGTGTCCCATGATCGGTTTTCAAGAAATATTTGCTGAATGGATGCTTATTAGAAGTCTTACAGACTTTAAAGAGCTGAAGTACAGCCAACACATTTTGTAAATGAGCAAACTGAGTTCAAGAGCAGTTTCGTCCCCAGGCCTCTTAATCCACTCAATAGTTCACTCAGTATGAAGTGAGAGCTATGTGCTGAAGATTGATTTATGCCTTCAAATAATTTATAGTCTAAATGAGGAATACAGACAATCTCAAGATATCTAACGCTTATGGAACCTGACTCTATATATATTAACTATTTCAGTCCTCACAATAACCTGATGGCCTAGAAGTGTTATCTCCATTTTACTGAGAAAACAAATGGGGGCTCAGAGAGATTACAGAGTTGATGTTAGGTCTGGTCCTAGAATTCAAACCAATGGACTCTAGAGACCTTGCTCTTAATTGCCATTCCCTATGGACAACTCTTGCAGGTGCCCATACAGGAGGCATTTGCTGTTGCGGGGTGGAGAGAATGCATTAGCTATGGGATGCCCAGCCCTGAAGAACAAATGAAGTATTCAAATTAGGTTGATGTGTATATTTTAAATAACAAATTGAAGCTACTGCAGGCCTACAGAGTCATGGGAACTCCCCAGAAGACAGTGATGGTGATGGAAGATGAGGCTGGAGAAGGAAACAGGAGACAGACCATGAAGGTCCTTATATGCCATGCCCAGGAGTTGACTGTGAATTTTGCTCAGGTGCAGCAAGGAGCTGCTAGAGTTAGGAAACTAATATAATGAAAAACTAAGGAGGTGACAGTGGGAGTGAAGATATGTGGGAAAAGGTACACACACACACACACACACACACACACGGATACATAAATGTGTATATTCAACAATACAGTCATGCATCATTTAATGATGGGGATATAAGAAATGCATCATTAGGCAATTTTATTGTTGTGTAAACATCATAGAGTGTACTTACACAAACTGAGAAGGCATAGCCTACTACACACCAAGGCTATATGGTGTATACCATCATAAATGCAGCTCATTGTCATCATATAACACATGATGGTACTTAGTGATTGATTAGCATGATGAAGAGGAAATTAAAGGGTTACCAACTCCAAGATTTCTAATTTGAGCAGCCAAGCTGATGCCCTTTGAGAAGACGAAGTAGGAGATGTAACATGCTGTGGGGAAAATAGTGGATTGAGGTGTGTTGAGGTGGAGTGCCAGTGGGCTTTCATGGAAATGTTTGGGAGATGATTGGTATGTATGAATCTAAAGCTTAGGAAAGATTTGGGAAGAGACCCCAACTTGGAAGAAACATCAGCAGATGGATGAAGCTACAGAAGTGTCTGAGAAAACTCAGGGCAAGTGAGTGGACTGAGGAGAGGAGAGGGCAGAAAGAAGAACCTGGAAAAAAATTCATTTTTGGGGGGCTGTCCTGATGTCCTTTCCACTACGGCACAGAACTTTTCCTTAACTTTTAGTTTCTAATCAAAGCAAATAAAGACACAAACCTTTATCCATCGGGTTTATTTGCCAAAAGCTGTAATTCTGGGTCTAGTGGATATCCCTTTTTGGGTTAAACTGCCACTAAAGGGAGACAACTGCAGAATTTGGGCTGAGAGACAGGTAAGCATGGAGAGGCTGGGTGGTTGTGGGAGGGATGGGCTGATCCCTTCAGGAGTAACTGCCCGGCCCTCCTAGGGGGATGACAAAGACCGAGATGTCATCCCCAGAACCCAGCTTGTTGTTAGGGAGATGCCAGCCATGGTCCCGGGGGGTACCCCGGGCCCCCAGGATCAGAGCTTGGGCCAGAGCTGTATACCTGCCAGGAGCACATGTGCACATTCATGTATATGGGAAGATAGACACAGAGGCCCACATGGGGTCCCCAAGCATTGCTTCCCTTTGCCCTTTCCTTTGCCAGTGCCATCCCCTTATCATCATGCCATGCAACCCCTACCTGCTGGGGTCATTGGGTTCATAGGCCGACAGCACCCTGTCCACAGTGGCAGCTACCTCACAGTCATTGGTGACATCCCATAGGCCATCTGTTCCCAGGACTAGCACATCGTCTGGGCAGTGCTCATACTGTGTCAGGTCATACACTTGAACCTGGTGGGGAAAGAGTATAGGGAGGATTGAGGTGTGGGGTGTGCTGGACAGGGAGCTTGGGGATAAAAGGATGGATGAAAGCCAGCTTGAGACCCACAGAGGAGGGAAGGTATAGTTAAGGAGGCCCCCATGCAGCTCACCTCAGGGAAGCAGGAGAGGAAAGGCTTGATGGGCAGGGTGGATCTGCAGACATTAAGGTTGTGGTCTCCCAATCCCCGGGTTACCCCAATAGTGGCCATCACTCGGGCCTGAGGGAAACATGGAGGGGGACGGCTATTTAGTCCTCTGCCAGGCTCTCTGAAACCACACAGCCCTCCCACACCTACCCTCAGGTAGAACCTCCACCTCCCTAGACAAATTGTGGTAGGTCCTCCTGCCCTCTCCCACCTCTACTGTGGATTTTACCTTTTTGCCCTCCCCACAGACCAGAGGAAACCTGAGGTCCTCCAGCTGGATCTTTTTGTAGGCTCTGGGGAGGGGGGGAGTAGAGGCATCACCTAGGCATCAAAGCCCCCTCTCTTCTAGGAGCGGGACACCCGCACAAAAACCCCTTAGAAGGGCCCCATCCCCCAACTCCCAGCCTGGCCCAGCCTTCAGCTTCCACCTTGCTACTGGTGAGGGACTGGTTGGGTTGCCATGGGAATGACCCAGCTCTGAGGGAAGTGTTACCAGCCAGTCATGTTCTGGTCCCGGTAGAGCATCCTCTGCCCCAGCTCCTTGGGCTGAGCTCTGCAGGGGAACTCAAGGTGGGTGAATTCACCACCCAGCAGCTCTGGTTTCAGGAAGCCCTGGGGTTGAGAATGGCCAGACAGAGCAAAGGGCCAGAGGGTGTTACACTCACAGCGTACCCTAGTACAATATATAGATAATGTTAATTTTTTTTCTTCTTTTGCAGTAATGGGGATTAAACTGAGGGGTGCTTTACCACTGAGCTACATCCCCAGCCCTTTTTAATTTTTATTCTGAGACAGGGTCTTGCTAATTTTTTGAGGCTGTCATTGAACTTATGCTCTTCCTGCCTTGGGCTCCCGAGTTGCAGGAATCACAAGTGTGCCACACTGTATCTGGATAGATGATATTTATTATAGCACATCTTTAAGTAAAGGTCCACATGCTACACACTATTCTGATACACACATTAACTCAGTTACTCTTCGAAACAACCCATGGGGCAGGAACTATTACTGCACAGAGAGGTTAAGGAACTGTCAAAGGTCACATAATTAGCAGAGAACAACAAACCAGGATTCAGTATCCAGGCAGTCCAGTTCCAGAGCCCAGGGGCCTTTTCTGTTCCCTCCCCCCACCTCTGATTTTACTTCCTTCCTCAGCTGGGGCCACAGTGGGTGCTCCAAACCAGCTCAGGCTCCTTCCTGTAGCATTATCCCCTGGGCTCAGCCCTGCACTCAAGAGCCCACACAGCCGCCTTCCCAAGAAGCTCCCAGTAGGGAGTGTTCTGTGTTTGGTGGTGGTGGTGGTGGTGGTGGTGTGTATGTGTGTGTGAGAGAGGGAGACAGAGAGAGGGTAGGGTTGGAGGGGTCTTCTCAGGGACAAGAGTGCAGAGAGGCACAAGAACCAGTAAACGATGGGGATAGGAAGTTTGGTTCCTACTTACAAGCAGCTGAAGATGCTGGTGCTCAGTCTCCGGGGTAAACTCCTGGAACATTGGAATGATGTCACCATTCCGGACAATGATGGCCCTGCCCAGAGATAGAAAAGGCCTGGCTCTCCTCAGCCCCCTTCATGGATAATTCCAGAGGGACCAGGCCTTCTGCTTAGGATTCCTTACCCAGGACTCCATCTTTCCTCTCCTTGTGGATATATCAGGCCTTTCTTTATATCTATGGTCTTCCAAACTCCTTCAATCTTTAGGGTTTCTTTAAATATTTTATTTTTTTACAGTACTGGGGATTGAACCCAGGGCAGCTTTACCACTGAGCTATATCCCCAGCCATTTTGATTTTATTTTGAGACCCAATTTATTATAGGGTCTCACTAAAGTTCTGAGGTTGATCTTGAGCTTGTGATCCTCCTGCCTCAGCATCCTGAGTTTCTGGGATTACAGGCATGTGCCACCATGCCAAGTCCAATATTTGACTTTGAACCCCACCACCTCACTCTTCTATCCCCCCATCCTAGAGAGTATGGTCCCTTGTAGCCACTTTTAAAGTCCTTCTCTTTCATACCTGCTGTCACCTGCATTGGCCACATACACGTTGCCTAGCAGGTACACCACAACCAGTGCACAGCAGCCCCCCTCTACTTGGTGGCCAAGACACTCCTGCTCCCGAGCCATCTGCTCATCCTGCCAAGTGAGGAAGGGTCAAGAGGGAGGAGAGTAAAAGAAGAGTTTGCAGACACCGAGTCACCCTCCCCACTCCCATCTGCAGAAATCATCTGGCACAGCCAAACCACAACTGGAAAAACAGTGAAACACATGGGAGTAACTATCCCTTCTGCCTCCCCTCAGAACCAAACTCTGCTCTGGCTCTCAATGATGTTGTGGGTTCTCAGGGTCAGTCCCTGAGGCTACCTGACTCTCACACAGAGTTGGCCAGAGTGTCTGCCTAGCCAGTCTTTGGCCCAGGCCACCCACTCACCATGAGCTGGAAGGCATTCTCAATGGCCCCTACTACCAGGCTTTCATGGGTCACTTCCTTCTGTGAAGACCAGCAGGACTGAGGACCAATCAAGTGAGTAGAATCAGAGGAACCTGGGGTCCCTGAGGTGCATGGGAGGCAGACGGGAGGTGGTGAGTGGTCTTGAAGTGTTTCTACTAGGTCTTTTAGTTGCTCCTGGATGTGGCGATGCAGGAGCCATGAAGCCATTTCGGCAGCTTCACCACTGGCATGTCCATCAAACAGGCCCCAATAATAGAAGCAGAGTCCCTGGTGGGGGAAAAGTTGAAGGTGAGTAAATCTGTGTGTGTGTGTGTGTGTGAGTGTGTGTGTATGTGTGAGTGTGTGTGTGTGTGTGTGTGTATATAGTATAGTATAGGGAAAAGAACAAGACTGTAGGCATCCAATAAATATTAGAAAGGTTGGCATTACAGGCAAATTCGATTTATTCATTTATTCACCCAGGGCACACTATGTGTCAAAAGAAAGGAGAGCCTCAAAAATGCCAAATTCTGAGGATAAAAGATGCAAAAATCAGTATCAGTAATTAATTAAATTATCCATAATACACGAACATCTACATTTGAAGTAGAAAAGTAAACATTCATCTGACATGGCAGGACTTAATGAATCAATGCCACATAAGGGTTCTGTGGCAAACACAGAAAGCTAGTGAGTTAGGAGGCAGTTTTTCCCAGTCTCAAAAATAAAACCAGATGCCTGATATCCCTCAGGATGAGTGTCTGTGTCTCTGGAGGCTAAGAGAAGGGGTGACGCCTTACTGGGCTTTGGCTAGGCTCCCTAGGGGCCCCTGTAACACCCCTCCATCCTTCCACATACACCACTTCACAGCAAGCCTGGTCCTCATTGTGCCGGCTCTTGCCAGTGTTGATGACACTGCCAGGCCAGAGTGACCACATCAGGTTGGACACCAGACGAGGTCCTGGAATAACCCCCACCTTAGACACATACACATCCTCCCCTGTCGACTGGCCAAGCTGAGAAAGGTCACAGCCACCTGGGATCCAGGCCAGAGAGAAAAGGAGCAGGGAGAGCTGAGGAGGAGTACTGTCTTGGTGGCAGGCCCTACTTCACAGGAAGGTAGACAGTAGCACCTGCCTGCCTCAGTTCCCCCCTTACTTGGCAAAAGAGGCTCCCTCAGGGGTTCTGCTGGAGGAGGCAAGATGAGGGTAAGAGCTTTACTTCTCTGCTCGCCAAGACGCTACATTCACCTCCAACCTCAATCAGTTCTCCCAGTAGTTTGTCCCCAGCGTTCCACAACTCATGGGCACACCCACCCTCACCCTAAAACTACCCAGCAAAAGTTTCTGCCTGTTTGGCAGTGAGGAAGTGCTTCAGCCCGATGATCACAAGTTTGAGGCCAGCCCTCATCTATACACCCTACTGTCATGTATATCTAAGAACAAATTATATATACATACACATATACATATATACATATACATATATACACATATAAATAAATAAATAATATATATACATACACACACACACACACACACACACACACACATATATATATATATATATATATATATATATATATATATATATATATATATATCCCCTTCAAAAACAGACCTCCTTTCAAAATAAAAAGGACCAGGGATGTAACTCTAGTAGAGGGCCCCTTGATCAAGCCCTAGTAGGAGAAGGACAGGGAACAACTTTGTGCAACCATGGGAATGTTCTATATCTGCTCTGCCCAATACACTTGTCCCTAGTTTCTTGTGGCTACTGGACACTTTAAATAGCGTTTGAGTGCTAAGTAAAATTTTAATGAGTTTAGATTTAAATTTAAATAAAATGCAGCTAGCGACTACCCAACTGGACAATGCAGTTCTGGAATCTTCAAAGCTCAAGACACCTTGCAGGTCCGGGCAATGACTCCTCACTTCCAGCGCCCCACCGCCACTTCCACCCCGCCACCGCCCTTCACCTCCGAGCATCACCTCCTTTCCCTGAGCCACAGAACTAGGCGTCAGGAGACCTGGAGGTTTGGGAGGACTTCCTCGGGGTTACCTATCTGACAATCCATAGGGGCCAGTAGTTCTCCCGTCTCTCCTCCTGTCCTGAGTCGCCAGGGGCCGCTGCGGGCCGGCTGCGACCGCCAGCCCGCCCGTCGCCCCGCGCTGTCCTGAAGGAAGCAGCAGTGCTGGCCCAGGGCTGGAGGAGTGGGGCGGCATAGGCGCCGAGGCTGCAGCGGCCGCAGCACGCTCCCCAGCCTTCAGGCGCGAGGATCTGAGAGGGTCCTACTGATCAGAGCCGGGCCCAGGGCTCTCATCACTACCGCGTCGGTGATGTGGGTTTGGCCAGAGCCCGGCTGTCCTGGGGGCACAGCAACTTGGTGAGGGACGCAGACAGAGCCCTGGACTGGAGGGCATTCAAACTGGCCGCGCCCAACAGTAGTCTGCTCTCTGAGTCTTGGTCCCAGGTTCAGAGGCAGCGCGGACCTCAGGCCAGCAGGTTGAACAGTGGTCACCGCTGTAGGGCAGGTAGGTCCCTGTGAGAGTGCTCAGAATTTTGGAGGACTGAATGGACACTGGAGTTGGGTGGGGGAAGGTTGGAGGTTCTTGGGGTTCATGACTTCAACTCCTTGTTGGTGTGTAGGCTGCTCACTCAGTCTCACTATAGAATGGGTTGGGGCAGGGGGGAAACAGGCTGGGAAACTGAGGTAGAGCATAGAAGTTGAAGAAACATTCCCAGATGCTTTCTGCAGCTTCCTCCAGCTCCAATCCTCTCCCCTCTCCCAGGTCTTTTGAGTCTTGGGGTTCATAAGAGAGACCAGGTGAGTGGGATTGAAGGGTCTGTAAGCTCAGAAACAAGATCACCTGAGACAGGCTGAGCATGTAGCTCAGTAGTAGAGCCCTTGTCTAGCATTCCTGAGGCCCTGGGTTCAATCCCCAGCACCCCTCACCTGGGAGAAGCTGCATTTCTAATGGTTGAAATGAGATTTCCTGAAAGGGGCGGAGAGAGGAGAGACCTAATCAGGAAAGAGATACATCCAGACAGGTGGGAGCTTAACTATCTCCAGGATATTGCCATCACTTCCTTTGAACACCTTCATTCCCCTTTGTAGGACCCTTGTTGCTGGGAGCTAGGAGGCAGGGTTCTCTTCCTTCCAGGGCCTCACCATCCTGCGTTTCACTTCTGCCTCCTTAGGAGGCTGAAAAAGGAGGAGTACTTAGGAGAAGGTGTTGGGGAGCTGCGGTCTGCAGTTCAGAGACCTGCTGAACCCCCATTCTGGCTCTGTGGGGTGAAAGAGGGTGACAGTGGCAGAACTGAGCCAGCTGTATGTAAGCCCAGGAAGCAAGTGCCATGGGACATTGGTGGTAGAGGCAAAGAGGATTCAGGGCTCAGGAATCCTCCCCAGAGGTGATCCCAGCAGGAATCTCTCTGGCAGATTCTGATTAGAACCCTCCCCTGATCCTCAGCTCTGTCCCAATATCAGAGAGATGACTGTGCTGATTCTTAGACCCCTCCTACCACTGCTTCACTCCTGTGACATTGAAGCTCCCTGGCCACTGGTCCCAGGCTCATCCTGACTCTGTAAGGGCCATTCCCAATCCAGAAGAAGAGACTCTTCCCTGCCTAGAACAGCTTCAGAACTGGACTCCCGCCAGCCCACCCCCTTGCCTTCTCCCAAGCTTTCCTTTACCCAACCAGACCAGGGCCCGGGCTCCCTCTGGACCTCACAACTCACTGAAATCTTTCCTACTTGTCCAGGTGGAGTGAGTCTGAGACCAGCAGATGAGCAGACTGAATCTAAAAGATCCTAACAAAAGGTAAGTGAAGAAACGGTTGAAGATTTGAAGTGTGAGGGGTGGGCAGACATCGGGCATTTTATTCTAAGATGGAAGCAGGTTCCTGGAATTTGGTTGATCCCTGATACTCTCAGAATTGTGCTGGCACTTGAGGGAGGTCATCAGTGACCCAAGGGGCTAGGTGAGCAACAGAGGTAGTGACCCAGGTCTATCCCTGAGCTTGAGACCCTGATGCCTCCTGAGTCTGATTTTGCCCCCATCTGTGGCTGGGCAGCTCCCAGCTTTTGTGTACCTCTACTTCCCAGATGAAATTCCCTCTATTTCTAGTGATTCTCTGGAACAGATTAGGGAGTTTGAACCACCAAGGATGGAGGAGGATAAGGAAAGGGGAAGAGAGTTTGGCTCAGAAGCAAGGTGGTAGGTGGATATATGGAAGATTGCTGGGTTCTGGCCCCTGCCACCCCCATTCTTCATTTTCATTTTTAAATTTAAACATTGTGTAAATTAAATGGCCACTACATTCCCCAGGTTTGAAATTCAAAAAATGAAAAAGAGCCGGGTATGGTGGTGCACACCTGTTAACCCAGCAACTCCCTGAGGCAGGAAGATGCAAGTTCGAGGTCATCCTCAGCAACATAAAGAGGCATTAAGCAATTTAGCAAGACCCTTTCTCAAAACAAACAAACAAACAATAAATAAATAAATATAAAAAGGGTGGGGCAGGGGATGTGGCTCAATGGTTAAGTATCCCTGGGTCCAATCCTTGGTACGAAAAAGGAAAAAATAAATAGGGAGTAAAAAATACATTGGTAGAAAAATAAGTCATCTTTCTCAGCCAACCACTTTTCCTTCTTAATGGCAAACAATGTTATTCCTTTTTTTTTCCATAGCTAATTTTTTGACATTTTTGTTTGGTGAGGTTTGGTTTGGTTTGGTGTTTTGTGTGTGTGTGTGTGTGTGTGCACGCGCGCACGCACAGTATTAGTGATTGAACTCAGGGCTACTCTATTGCCAGCTACTTCCTTGGCCCTTTTTATTTTTAATTATTTTTTTTCTGAAATTGTCCTTTATTTTGTTGTACTAAAACTGATACAAAGTAACATTTTAGTACAGAACCTCTCAGGCTGTCAGATCCTGTATCTGCCTGCATACCACCCATCACAGCCCAATCTGCCTGCAATATACAAAAACAACGTGTAACCAATGCCTCAAGAATGGTCTATAGTTTTTCTCAGTTGTCTGAGCTAGAAAACTTGTACCTGAAAAAGAAAGGTCAGCATTGAGAACCGAAGCTTGTTTCTCTTTTGAAGCGCTGTTCAAGAAATCATATTCCTTTTTTAAAAATATCAGTAATGGCTAAACTACAATCTCGTTTCTAGAATTACAAAGAATAAAATCAAGTCAAAGACATCTTGCTATTAAATGAAATGTTAGGAACAGTATTAAAATATGGATCCTACAACAATGACATCGGAGCCTGCTATAGAACCTACTAACAGGACACTGCAGGACACACCATTTAAGGAATCTTCAGCCAGACTTATCTGGCCTCCGAAGTGCATGCCCTTTTTATTGTATTTTGAGACAAGCTCTCACTAAGTTGCCCTGGCTGACCTCCAACTTGCAATCCTACCTCAGCCTCCAGAGTTGCTGAGATTTACAGGTACAGACCACCACATGTGGCTCCAGAGCTACTTTATGCCTATTCAAGCAGCATAAATAATCCCTCTTTAACACATTTTATACACATCGTCCCACATGTTGCTGCTCCCTCTTAACAGTGGATTGTCATTGGAGATCACTGCATGCATCATTATATAAAGCATTTTCCATTGTTTTTCCAGAGCTGTTTGGAAGAGACTGCCCAGATTCTCTTCAAAGCATTTAGCCAGTCCTTCAGTGGTGGATGTTTGGGCTGTGTCCAGACTTTTTGAGTTTCCATTTGCTCATCTATAAAATAGGTAATAACTATCCCACTTTTTGGAATAGTCATGAAGGATTCAAGAGCATGCCTGGGTTAAGAACTGAAAAAAAAATGGGAGTTAGCATGATTGTTCCTCCCACACCACAGCCCATTTTTTTTTTTAATTTTTGGGGGATACCAGGGATTGAACTCGGGGGCACTCAACCACTGAGCCACATACCCAGCCCTATTTTGTACTTTAGAGACAGGGTCTCACTGAGTTGCTTAGCACCTCGCTTTTTGCTGAGGCTGGCTCTGAACTCTGTATGCTCTTGCCTCAGACTTGCAAGCAGCTGGGATTACAAGTGTGCCACTGTGCCCAGCTCTAAGACCCCTTTTAAATGTCACTTCCTCCTCAGGTCCTCCCTTCCTGCTCCCCTGTTCTCTGTGGCATCCATCGCTTCCTACAGTGACTTTGTGCCAGGCTTTGAGCTGCCTGGGGACAATGTGAGCATCTTACCTACCCTTGCCTCCCAGAGGGCATAGCACAGAGAAGCAACTGGGGCTGGACACTAGGAGAGCCCCTCCTGCCTGGAGCTGTGCGAGGTGTGCCCTTCTCTCCACAGGATGAGTGAAAGGGCCATGCAGAACTGGAACTCAGGCCACTGGCTGCTGGCACTGTGCCTGACGTGGCTGTGGACCCTCCTGGCCTCTGCTTCCTCGCAGCCTCCAACTGCCACAGGTTAGGGGGAGGCAGCAGGGACTGGGAAGGAGGTTTTCCAGCACACCTGGAAAACTGGATAACACCCCACCCTGTTCCACACAGCGAGCAGATCTCGGAGGCAAAGTAAAAACCATAGATTTCAGGGTTCTGACTCCTCCTTTGTTCATCACCCAGGCAACTGCTCCCTTCTGCTATCCCCACCAGGAGGATACCTGGGCAGACCCACTGTTCTCTGTCGCTTCCAGGCCAGAAGTTGTTCTGCAGGGAGAGAGGCCCTCGGGTGGAGACTTAAGTCTAGCCTCCTGGCCAAATTCTGGGGTTTTCCTTCTGGGATGGCTAAAGCCTATATAAGCGGATGATCCTCCCCATGCACTGTAAGCCCTGCGGCCCTTGCCCTCTGAGAAAGAAGGGAGGTAGGGGCGGGACCTGGTGCGGGACTTCAGCTTTCTTCTGCTCAGACCCAGGGTCTGCCAAACGGTGATGAGTGTGACTTCACTGGGGAGGAACAGGAAGATTTCATCTGCTTCTTTCTCCCCTGCCATTGGATTTTTCTGTGTGTGATGCTGGAGATCGAACCCAGGACTTGATGCTGCTGGGCACATGGCCCATCAGTGAGCTAAAACCAAAGCCCTGGAAATCTCTTAAATAAACTTCCCCCAGCCAGGTGTAGTGGTGCACACCTATAATCCCGGTGACTTCCGAGGCTGAAGCAAGTTGAAGCCAGTCTCAGCAACTTAGCAAGACCCCGTCTCCCAATAAAATATAAAGGGCTCAGGGTGCGGCTCAGTGGTAGAG